TATTATGCTAAATCCACTTGTTCATGTCTCTTCTACATCAACATGTGTCCCCTCTTCTCCATGTCTCTTCTACATCAACATGTGTCCCCTCTTCTCCATGTCTCTTCTACATCAACATGTGTCCCCTCTTCTTCATGTCTCTTCTACATCAACATGTGTCCCCTCTTCTTCATGTCTCTTCTACGTCAACATGTGTCCCCTCTTCTTCATGTCTCTTCTACATCAACATGTGTCCCCTCTTCTTCATGTCTCTTCTACGTCAACATGTGTCCCCTCTTCTTCATGTCTCTTCTACATCAACATGTGTCCCCTCTTCTTCATGTCTCTTCTACATCAACATGTGTCCCCTCTTCTTCACGTCTTTTCTACATCAACATGTGTCCCCTCTTCTTCATGTCTCTTCTACATCAACATGTGTCCCCTCTTCTTCATGTCTCTTCTACATCAACATGTGTCCCCTCTTCTTCACGTCTCTTCTACATCAACACGTGTCCCCTCTTCTTCATGTCTCTTCTACATCAACACGTGTCCCCTCTTCTTCATGTCTCTTCTTCATCAACATGTGTCCCCTCTTCTTCATGTCTCTTCTACATCAACATGTGTCCCCTCTTCTTCATGTCTCTTCAACATCAACACGTGTCCCCTCTTCTTCATGTCTCTTCTACATCAACACGTGTCCCCTCTTCTTCATGTCTCTTCTTCATCAACATGTGTCCCCTCTTCTTCATGTCTCTTCTACATCAACATGTGTCCCCTCTTCTTCATGTCTCTTCTACATCAACATGTGTCCCCTCTTCTTCATGTCTCTTCTACATCAACATGTGTCCCCTCTTCTTCACATCTTTTCTACATCAACATGTGTCCCCTCTTCTTCGTGTCTCTTCTACATCAACATGTGTCCCCTCTTTTTTATGTCTCTTCTACATCAACATGTGTCCCCTCTTCTTCATGTCTCTTCTACATCAACATGTGTCCCCTCTTCTTCATGTCTCTTCTACATCAACATGTGTCCCCTCTTCTTCATGTCTCTTCTACATCAACATGTGTCCCCTCTTCTTCATGTCTCTTCTTCATCAACATGTGTCCCCTCTGTGGAAAGAGACTCTGAAAGTTTCAGGAACAAAGATTCTCTCTCTTTTTGTCCTGATCCATTTTTATAAAAACCTGTCTGAAAATGAGCTGATCAGATTTTGGCCACTTTATGATGTCATAACGATGTTTTGTCTTGTGTAACCATTAGCCAATCAGCAACCAAGGTAACCCCCCCCCCCCCACCTTATCACCTGAATCTCCTCCTAGAGCACCATTGAGTTCTTTGTAACCAAATCTCTCTCAGAGGGGCGTGGGGAGGGGCTCCTTATTTTCATCTAAAGTAACAGACAGAGAATCAGCACTTTTGAAACAGGGCTGAAACAGAGGGGATTATGGGTAATGCTGCAATGATCTGTTTGGTGCCAATCAGAGACAGGTTCTGTATATATCTGAGACCTGTAATATATTGATGAAAAACAGTATAATAGGGGACCTTTAAATGTATTCACTGTTTGTTAACCCAGCAGTGAGCGGAAGTCTATTTACTTGTTGATTTTATATAGCTCAAAATGAGGCTTTAAAGTGGACTAAAGGGATGTGGTTGGTAGCAGTCTGAAGGTTAGATCGTCAGAGTAATAACTCACAGGAGGGCAGGCGGTTCAAATCCCCAGATCATCTAGGACATTTTGGATAAGAGAGGTGCACATATGGTGCCCTCCCCAGCCTCCGAAACAACAAACATTTGGCCCTTGAACATGGCACTTAACCTCCAAACACCCCCACTGGAGCAGCTTGTTGTCTGCCAGTAAAAGAAGGAAACTGCAGAGCCGTAACCAGATGTGAAAACGCTCTTCTTCCTCTTCTTTCAAAAAGGGAGTGTCTTTACATATCTGCATTATTGTTGGGCGCGTGGGTACACCTCTTACTCTTAGACAGTACTTATCCTTCTACTTACAGCAGTGTATACATATTCTAATACACTTCTGCTTTCAAAATGTTACCTACGTAGAAAAGTACTAGCTTCAAAATAGACTTCAAGTACAAAAACTAAGAGAAGGCCTATTTCAGAATAGTATACATTATATTACTGAAATACAATTATTCATGCATTCATGTTTTTACCAATCATGTGTTGCATGTAGTAAAGGTAGAATTCATTTGAACTACTTAATACACTTAATAGATATATATACTACTGCTGAATACATAATATTTCATTCAAGATCTGTATTTTAGTAAGTCATTTTGCCAAATAAACGTAAAAAAACTACAATATTCGCCTTGAAATATAGCGGAGTAGGTGTATAAGATTGCATAAAATTAAAATATTCAAGTACAAGTACCTCAAACTTGTACTTGAGCTCTTAGCACTTGTATTTATGCACTAAGGAAAGCAATGCAAATTCAATGTTATCATTTGGCTAAGGATATTGATAGGCGGTAATCTAGCCAGTGACAGGGAATCTTTTCCATCTGCAGAAAGAGACACATGTTGGTTGAAACACATCTGTGTCCTGCACACCATTTGGAGAAGTGGTTACTTTACTCACCAATGTTGGAAACTACCTATTTGCAATGTTTACTACTGCTTTCTTCCAAGTCAAAGTTATATTACTTCAATCTTAGTTCATAGCTTCAATCAATTCACTCAAAACAAACTGGTCCATCAGTCTGAAGATGTAACTGTAACCAAATTCACATTTTGATTTCAATAGTTATCATGTGCAACCTAAAATCAGAGCCTTGTGTTTTACCAGTGCAAATCATAATTGGATATTTATACAGTTTCCTTTGTGACTACCTATTTCCTATCTCTTCCACACACATAGAAAGTCAACAGTATTATGAGCAGAGAAGAACATGCTCTTGGCTAAAGAAGTATTAGGGCCTGAAATGACACATTAACATCTATCCAAAATGTAAGTCTTATTCCAGAGTACCTCTCAATGGGCACAATTCAAAAATGTGTCTTTTCCTTCCTCCTAGACCACCATGGACCACTTCAGCTCCAAGGACATGGCGTTGAGCGCGCAGAAGAAGATCCTCAGCCGCATGGCCACCAAGAGCTCGGTCCAAATGTTCATCGACGACACCTCGAGCGAGATCCTGGACGAACTGTACCGCGTCTCCAAAGGCTACTCGGGGAACAAGTCGGAGGCGCAGAAGGTCATCAAAGACCTGGTGAAGATCGCCGTGAAGATCGGTTTGCTGTTCAGGAACAACCGCTTTAGCACGGAGGAGCTGGGAATCGCCACGGATTTCAAGAAGAAGCTGCACCAGGGGGCCATGACGGCTATCAGCTTCTACGAGGTACGTTTACACATTTGTTTTTAAAGTACAGAATATATAAACAGGCTTTAGGAAGTCAGAACTTCAGTGGTCTGAAATGACTCTCAAAACTGATATATCAAGGAATAGAGATACATCACATTGGCATATGGACACTGAACAGTAAATTGTTCAGGCAGAAAATGTCCAAGTTCAACGTAGAATACTAAAATAGACCTTAATAGCCTTTCAAATCTGTATTGCAAGGGTAAACGTGTGCAGTATGTTGCAGGGAATGGTTGTAAAGAAGGTTTTTAAGGTTTTATTTAAGCTATGTGGCTCTTTAGTACTTTTCTGGTAAGTCACTATCTATCACTAATGGAGAAAACACATTGGTGAATAATCTAAAAGGCCCACTGATAAAGGTATTGCAATATTTGTATGTTTGCAGTACTACAAACTGGTTGTGTGTGGGGTAATTACTTCAGCTTTGTATACACACAAAAAAGGGAACTACGCACACAGTTCGGAAAACTTTAAACAGCTTGACTCCAGACTGCTAAATTCGAAGCAACATTTGATTGCTTTCAAACAAGAAAATCACAATCAACAAGGACTAAAGTCTCAGCGATGGCCACTTAACTGCAGCTACGCACTTGACCCTAAATTACCTTGTTTCCATGACTGCTTTTGAGTCATGCATGGGTTTGAATCACACCAAACTACAATAATGACAACTGCAAGAACATATTTAATTACTATATAAACTGTCATATAGGATTATGGGTACACTTAACCCTGAGTTGCTCCCGATTGCAAGGCTAACGGTGTGTGAATGTTGGATTCCCTGAGCAAGAGTGGCACATTTCTCTTTATGAATGTGTGTGAATGATGACTTGAAGTATAAAGCGCTTGTAAGACTGAATAAAGCACCATATTCAATATTAACTGGTTGTGGCTGAGGGGGGAAGTTTCAGTAGTTCAATCTCCAGTCGCTGCAGTAAGCATGTTGAAGCATCCTTGGGCAATATACTGTATTGAACCCCAAATTGCTCCAGTAGGAATGCATTCTATGCTATTGAGATGTAAGTCGCTTTGCTAAATGCTATGTAGTGTAACCCACAGTCATAACACTTTCCCCCTTACTCCCTCAGGTGGATTTTACCTTCGATAACGGGGTGATGTCAGAACTCCTGACCAGCTGCAGGGATCTGTTGTTGAAGCTGGTCAACACCCACCTCACCCCCAAATCCCACAACCGCATCAACCACGTGTTCAACCATTACTCCGACCCCGATCTCCTGACCAAACTGTACGACCCCAGCGGCACCTTCAGACCCAACCTCACCAAGATCTGCAAAGGACTCGACAAACTCGTGGAGGACGGGACAATATGACGTCAAAACAAAACAAAAAAAAACAATCAAATGTCACACAGACACTGGGAGGTCAACAGACTCACATGAGACTCAGAACTGTTGGGACACATTTTGGTCTTACTGCTGCTGAGGAATGGCAACGTAAAACAAGTGATTTGAGAACAAAAGCTCAACGACGCCCCATCGTTCTCGAAGAACACGCGGGATGAAGATGATTGACTCATTCCTCAAGTGTTTAGTGTTCAGAGGTGATATACTGTTTAATTGTGATGTATACTTAGACAAATTCTCAGAAAAAGAACTTGAACATAAACTAGTTTCTACTGTATCGGCTGTTTTATTAGATAAGGAAATGTCATTAGATGCTTGATATTTGAGACCTTGAAATGTTTCTTTGAGAACTACTGATGTTGGGTATTCAGGAGAGATGCTAGCAGCTGGAAATATTGCATAGAGAGGACAGAGAGGGAACAATGCCACTGTAATACAGCACTGCCATCTGGTGGTGAAGACGCCGCTTCATTGTACTGTATTTCCCAAAGCTTCCGGAAGCCAATAATAAAGCCAAATAACCCCGCAGTAGACAATTACTTACACCAACACTTTGCAGCTTCAAAACATGTTTAGCAGCATTAACAAAGAGACTGATGGCTAAGTGGTGTTGACAGGAAGAGCTTAATGTTAAATCCTATGACTCGTGTTATTCTGGAGAGTTGATCACAGGCGTTGGCTGAGATTAAGACAAGTGTTGTTCTTTGGTTTTACGTTACCAAGACATAAATAAAATCAACAAAACAGGTTCAAATCCAGCCCCAATGAGACACTCCACTTTATGCGCTATTGCAATGTCGTTTAACTGCGAAAATACCGTTTCTGTGGATCAAATTTGTTCAACCATTAAGTTACAGAAAGCTTTTTTTTTAAGTTCTAATAAAAAACATTTACTTGAGAAAGTTTGAACAAGGTGTCAATATATATTTTTTTTTAAGACCTCGACAAAAAACATGGCCTGTATATAAAACTGAAAGAAAATGTATAAAACGATTGCTATCAAAATATATTCTGAAACACAAGTCTGTTTCCTATGCTTTGCTACGTTAGACTAAGCTTTGCTACGTTAGACTAAGCTTTGCTACGTTAGACTAAGCTTCTTCACCGGTGACAATTTTCACAGGGAACATGATTCATAAATGAACTATGGCTAAAAGGCTTTAGTCAGAAGACTCGCCCAACGCTGCATTATCAGACGGTGAGGTAGCATTACACATCGTTGAGTTGACCATATGACCGAAGCAACTTGTGACTGCATTCTCATTTCTAACATTTCACGCTCTTGTTTCCTGATTGTGAAGATATGTTTGTGCTATTGGCCATATGAAGCTTTACATACAGTATTTCTCAACAAATAAATAAGAAAGCTACATAACAAGCAGTATTCATGTTTTAAAAAACGGTTTGAATACAGTGTAACTTCCTATTATAAGTTCAACAAAAAAATGGCATACAGCAGCAGGATGACTGGAGATATATTCCTCTTTTTGAAATGTTCAAATCCTTCTTTAATGATCAGAGTGCAGGAACAACGTGTCACAGCTGGAAGATCTCATCCTCCCTGTCTCTCAGTTTCCTGGTGAGCTTGGTGATAGTGAGGGGAACGGCCGCATGTGATGCCTGCTGCGTTGTGGGAGATAAGAAGGCGCTCTGCGACCTGGTGAGCGGCCGACAGTCTGAGGCCTCGCTGCTGCAAGCTGCTTCTATAGAGGCCACCCTGTGAGAGATAGACAGATACAGTAAGTGTGAAGACTGATCGTTTCACTTCATCAGCATGCATAATGTCAGTGATATTGTGATAACCCTTCTCTTGCTCTGGGATTATGACACTGTGTACACCTGACATTAACATGCCACTTTTGTGTTTTCAGAATAAACACATTTTATTCGCAAACAAATACTAAATTCATTGTTGTTTGTAACTGGCGGAAATTCACTTCCTGTCCCTGGTTTTCCAGAAATTAAAGTATGAAGCAGGAATGCTATTCACTAAAAATAATGTTGGATGCACTCATATTATATCTCTTTGGGTTTCTTGACATTTTAAGACATTGTTTAAAAAGCCAGTGAAAGGAGTTTTGTAAACTTGCCTCTTAGCAGAAAAGTGAATTTAAGTATGTGATGAAGTGTATAAGACTTCAGCTCTTATTGTAAAAAGTAAAGAGGGAAGATGCTGTCATACACCTCTGAGAGAGTAATAAGGTTTTCTTTCTAAGTTCAGTCTACAGAGCTGTTTGTGGTTTGAGAACCAAGTGAAGACGAGAGAAAGAGGAACAAAACGAGATCTGGGGCGTTGATGAAGTGTGTTCCTGTTGCACCTTTCTCTCTGTGGTGCAAGTGATAGAATCTCGGGGGCGGTTTGACTCGAATGTAAAGCTGTTCACTTATGAGTTGTTTGCCCGAGGTGCATGATAATATCCGGTGTGAACAGGAGTTAAGAGTCCTGTGAGTGCCAAACGGATCTTGTTTAACTACTTTCATAAACAACATGAAAAGAGAATCTTATTTTAGGTGCAACATTGGCTTTTAAAGCAGGTGCATACGATGTGAGAGAAGTTAGAAATGAAAGGGTGTTTTAAGTATTAAACTTGACGCCAAAAATCTCTCTGTTTTAGGGAATGCCAGACAGCAAATAAAATGTCAAGACTTGAGGATCTGTCACAGCACAATCCAGAGCATGACTGTGTCTGAACAACCGAAGTAAACAAGCGTGTACCTTTTCTCTGCCTCCTGACATCCTCTCACCGCCGCCTGCTTGGATTGACTTATCAAGTCGTCCAACCTTTTCAAAAAGTCCACTGGAGTAAGGTCCGACGCTCTTTCTCTGCCATCGCTCTGCTTCTTCTCTGAAGGGCTCCTCGTGTGCCCGTTTTGTTTGGAGACCGAGCCAGCGCCGTCCTCTTCGAACAAATCCCCCCCGTCACTACAGTGGGCCAAGTCTGACAGCACAGGGATTGATAAGGACTTCTTCAGGAATATGGAGTCATTGGTGTACAGCCTGTTGGCTCTTTTGATTTGCTCCATCTGTGAGAGAAGATGACATGTCAGCATTGTGTATACTTAATTAAATAAACGTAACTAATTATGGTTTATCTTAATAATATAGAAAGTATTGGACCTTTTTAGAAGTCAAAATCAACAGCAGGAGAGCAATGCAAATCAATGCACATTTGTAACAATTTAAAATACAGTTTTTGATATGAGGGTTGACAGTGTTGATCATAATTAACTCCATTTTACTAAACCATAATTCATATTACTTACTTAAAAGTACTAAGTGTCATTGAGAACCTATAAAAGCGCTCTATAAATAAAGAAAAAGTATTATTGTACCTGATTTTACCCAAAAGTGCACACACACTTGGTCCCTTCAGATAAGTACAATAAGAAATACAAAAAAATAAACATGAAATATGTGTATCCTGCATCCAAATATAGCAAAAGGGGATATTTCATTGGGAGGCAGGGTATCACAATATTTCCAATATAAGTTACAAACACAAAAATAGTTTTACAATATATGTTTTTACTTACAGAAACTCCATATTTCAGGGCCAGGCCTTGCAGTGTTTCTCCGGGCTGAATGCTGTGTTCAATGCGTCTCTGGCGAACCGGAGAGAGAGGAGACCGGACCAAACTACCGTAAGACCGAGTCCGGTTCCCCAGGAGGAGGCTGTTACCCCCACCGGGCAAAGGAGCTCTCTCCCCGGACATAGTAGCGAACAAATCGGCAAGATAACAACCGAGCAAACGGTGGTAAAGTGTGGCTACAAGCTCACGTTGTTGACATAATGAGAAGCAAACTAACTAGCAGCTTAGTTAGCATTCTAGCTAACTGGTAATCTCACTTAAGCATGACGCTCGTTCTTTTTGTGTCAACGCTACCTGTCAAACCTATGCTACATTTAAAGACTATAACTTACTTCACAGCAAGTTTTAATAACCATATTTCTCAAATAAACAGCTGAAAAGTTTGGGAGAAAGTTGCGAATATGTTCATGTGTCCAGCTGTCAGCTGCCGTGTGTTGCCATGGCTGCCGTGTTCAATCCCGTGAGTCGTCACATGTGCTGCATTCATGACAATTAGAATAACCGCAACGAAATGAAACCTTGAAACCTAACATGTATTCTAATTGAAGCAAATGGAGATTTCTGAAATTAGTTCACGGTTTTCTGAGCGTTAGACACATGTACACTTCATGTGGTGCATTTCAAATAACGTCATGTATTGTAGCTAATGTTTTAAGGGACAGTACCTACAATTTCAAGTGTTTCAAGTTTTTGAGAATTCAAAAAGTTTAATCTAATATAAATAGTAATAATAATAGTATCAATAATCTAATGGTTGTATTGGCTCTCAAAATAAAATAAAAAAACTAAAAGGAACCGGAGATCATAATAATTTAGCACTTAAAAACTGATCTGAACTATATTTTTTAAATATGAAGCTTGTAATTCCCATTTTCCTTTCTGACTAGGAACGCAACATTAGCTTGTCGTTGTCGTGAAGTAGCTAGTCATCTATGCTAACCCGTTACTATTGACCTCTATTTTGAGATTATCAACCATAATAATGTCTTTTAAAAGGGAAGGTGATGACAAGAGTCAATTGAACATCCTGAAGGTAACATGTTACTTTGTTAACGTTTCTATTAGAGACTTCAGTTGAGGTTAAGGATGTTGTTATGGTTAGCATAATGCTAGCTAACTGTATCCACATGTTTCAGATTGCATCTTTGAAACTGTAATAAAGTTAGAATTAATGAACCACTCCTCGTTGTTTTTGTGTTCCAGAAACGCCGTGTTGCAGATCTTCTGTCTAATTATATTCCAGAAGATGAAGCAGCTCTTATGAATAATGGAAGGTGAAACGAACTTTAAAAACAGTGACATGTGTGTGAATGAAACTCTTGTACTTTGAGGTTGTTAAAGCTCTAACTGAAGAAATTAAACTAATAATTAAATTGTTCAATTGTGTTTCTAGATACACTTGCCTTGTGTGCTCTTACCGTCCTGTGTTTGACACGGTGGACACGCTGACAGTCCACAGAAACGGGAAGAAGCATCTGGAAGGTGAGGCGTTTAATGTCATTATTATAATGTTTTATAATTCCAGTGAATAAGTGTTTATATCTTTCTTTCCTAACATTATCTAGTGTACCACGTTTGGGTGGAAAAACTGTTACACCCCAAGCAAGACTAATATGTGTGTCTCTTTGACTTGTACGAGTATAAATCCTTTTTATCGGACACCAACATATTGTTTTTGGATTTTATATCCTGGCACAAAATGCAGGAATAGTTAACCAAATAGTGACAAACATAAAATGAGCCTAGATTTAAATATGTTGTTCATTAGTAAGTTACTGTGATAAGTGATTTTCAACAGTGGTGCATCTAGAAGAGGGCAATACAGATAAAATCCACTATGACAGTATGTCAATTTATTATTATCCCGAGGCTCCTAACCAGTTAATAGTGTTTGTTTTGGCTAATGCCGCAAATAAACCCTCACACAAGTCAAGTCACTTTATCAAATGGTACAACAATTCATATTAAAATCCAATATTTCATAAAGCTGTCCAGATTATTGATGTGTAACATGGTGGCATTATACAACAAGAGATGTAGGAGGTATCTACAGCACTAAAGAATACATTTTTAAATGGTAACTTGACACATGTATAGTCTCACAGTTTTATTGTTATATTTGCCCAGCTTCAAATATATAGATTGTGTAGGAAGTATACATGGCTTGAATAAAGTTAATTCTTGTATATTTTTCAGGTTTAAAAGGATTCTATGGAAAGAAAGCACGGCTAAAGAATGAAATCACAAAAAGGCACCATGAAAAATACGTTGAGGCTGAAGACAAAAGACAGGTAAATCAGTTGTGAGCTCCAGGTGTGTTTCCTCATCTGTCAATCTCCTGATAAGATAAGATCAATTATAAAACGGACAAGTCAAATCAAGCAATCTGAATTGTAGTTACTTTTCACAACAAGTCAGTATCCCTCCGCGTCTGAGAAAAGATACAACCGTTACAGCTGTTACATTACGTCCGTTACGAAACTAACTAACTAACAAAGCTTAAGAAGGAAACATTTAAGGTTAACTTCGACCTCCAGGGTGGCCCCACTATGGAGGAGTGGATTGAGCAGTGCCTATCTCCAACTGGAAAAGTACCACCATTCAAAAGCTTTCTGATGCGGGTCTTGAAACAAAGCAGAGAAATTATGACTGTTAGTGGCCACAGGTGCGAAAGCTCTCTCCAGAGCTACTGGAAGCCAAATCTCGGGGACCGGAGAAAGTGGAGCAATATTCTCGCCACGCCAAGCAACAGCCTAGAACAACCTCAGCCTATACAAGTAACCACGTAAGCCATTCTACTGATGCTGGACAGGTTTTCAGTGGGTGCACAATAAACGGCAACATACAAATCAATGTAAATAAATAGCCAAATAATGGATCAACGCTCTCTGTCTAATATGTTCGCTAGCTGTTAGTGTTGTTGCATAGCAACCACCTCGCACTATCTTTTGTGCAGAAGGCAACGGAGGGACTATTTTATTTTGAACATCATTATTTACTAATAAAAACAATTTAAATTAGAGTGTGTATTTTTCTTTCATATTGCCACACTTGGTAACCGTTTTATAAAAGCAATAGCTCACTTCAGGCCTGTCGTGAGCTATTGCTTAAATATACTTTATTGATCCCAATTTGAGAATTGTTTTCGTTACAGCAGCATGTAAACAAGGCATGGCACACAATCTCAAAATAAAAACCGAACCTTAAAGTAAAATATATATATATATATATATAATGGCAGTGGTGGATATATATTGGAAGACTTACTGTCAAATATACACTATGAAGGGCCAATTACAGCTATCAAAATATGTGAGTGTGCAACAAATAGCATATTAAATGTAGTTGTATGGAAAAAATCTCCAACATGCAGAAGGTCAGTGAATCATCACGGCCGAATAACAACATCAGCGGAACATACTTAGTGTTTCTTGGTCTGACTGAAACTGTTGTTGTCTCGCATGCATTGTGTCCCTGTGACAACCATATGACCCTGACAAACAACAACAACACTTTAAAATAGTTGTCCACTGTGGAAAAGATAAACAACACTTGACCTGAACTCTACTCAGACATTTCCACTATATTCTACTTACAGTGTTTCTTTGTTTTTTTTAGGAACCCTCCTGTTCAGCTCCTCTATTGGAACAAACTCGGAAGCTTACACATCACGCCTTATTGAAAACTGTCCCTTATAACAGCTGCCATACAAAAACCAGGTACGCGCCATTGTTATTTAGTGCACAAATTCAAGCATATATAATAAACACTACTTTTAAAATTGTAAAACGAATATCTTGTATTGTTTTCTAGTACAAAAGGTGGAAAAGGAGCTCTGAGAGTTGACTCAGATCCCAGTGAAAACTCTTCAAGCATAACAGCATCTGAAGAGGAAAAAGCATGCCGGAAAACTGAAGTTTCAAACCGTTTATCACAAAGCGCTTCTAGTGGCTGCACAGCAGGTAAAGTCGGTCATACAAAATCGTACATTTTCAGATTTTGTGTTGAGTAAACCCTGGTCAGATGGGCTTTAATTGTGTGTTTTGTATTTTGTAGCCAATGAGGATCCACAGCCAGATGTGAAAGGAGCTGAGTCAGCAGAGCCTCAGGAAGCAGAGCCGATAACAGCCGAGAGGAAGAGAGAGCTGGAGCATTACCTCAAACTAAAAAGGTACAGGAGTGTTTGTTTTTCTAGCTTGTTATCTAGGTTCATAGCGGATATAACACAAATGCGGTTCTACACTTTTCCCACTCCCAAGAAAGGCTCAGCGATGCCCAAAACAACAAACAAACGTTTACTTCCCAAACCAAGAAACAAAAGCCAAGTCTCTTACTTGAGCTCCTATGCCGAAATAACAGGGTTCAATAACCATAAAGAGCTTCTCACTCCTACTACAACACAACAACAAACTTGTCAAAAAGCCTTGCAGTGCAACAAACATTTTTCCAATCTCAAAACACACAAAATGCTGGTTCTCCGTTGGGAGCAGTAGAGAGACTATTAGTGATGTGTCGGTCGCGAACGAGCCGATTCTTTTGAACGGCTCTTTGGTACGAACGAGGGGAACCGAGTCGTACTTGGTGAGAGCCGTTCTTGTTATCGTTCAATCGTTGGTCCGCACTCACTGCCTGCCAAAATCCACTCTCCTTTTAAAAAGCTTGATTTTGTTCCCCAAACGTATTCTGTGAAGACCCGCCCCTACTCTGATTGGTAGGTTTCAGCACGAGGAGTGAGATGGGGTGGGTCTTAACGGAATACGCGAGAGAGAGAGAAGTCATAACAAGTGGTACAGGACAGGTAGACGACGTGTTTTTCGGATGGAAAATGAGCCAAACGTGAAAACGCAGCAGCATTTGGATGCACTTCAACCAAAACCCAGGCAGTGATAAAGTGCGCCATTTGTAAAGGTAAAATATCCTTTAAAGCAGGGTCAACAAATAATCTCCATCGCCACTTAATTATCATTATGACTGGTGATTATTTCGCAGATAAACCTAGTAACCCCGCCCCCTTTTAAAAAAACGGCTCTTTGAAAGGAACGGAGCCATAAGATCCGGCCATAATTCCCATCACTAGAGACTATCGTGCACTTATTCAAATAACTGATGTGGACCAATCAGGATGCAGATATCAGTAAACTCGTCCAATCACCATGCAGCATCCACACACTCTTACACAGGAACAGAAAGCCATTGTGACCCAGAGTCAGAGTTGTTCATTCTAACAACTAGAAGTCAGTTCCATATATTTCACAATCAGGCTTATTGCCAGGTAGGTTGACACGTACGAGGATTTTGACTTGGTGTCGTGGTGCATACATAAAAGTAATAAAAAAAACACAGATAGCGAACTATTTTAGGAACACTATAATAACATTAAAAAAATATAAGAAAAAATTAAATAAAGCCGTGAAATAAAATGGAATAAAATATAAAATATGTGCAAATATGAGCGTTTCTTCTTGCTTTGTCTTGTCCTCAGTGACGGGTGGTTGCGGGACCGGAGCGGCCAATGGGTGAGAGACGAGAACGTGGAGTTTGATTCAGACGAGGAGGAGGAGGCTCCTTCGCTTTCCCCCCTACCCACAAGTCCCTGAGAGGACTAACACATGTGGGGAAACACAGATTAGCTTGTACCACAGTGGAACATTCAGATGTTTGAAACAGCCGGAGCTCCACATGCACACACTTTCTAAAACCTTTCATTCAATTCCAATGTTTTTGTGTGCCTTTATTAATCCTTGGACTCACTTCCTGGTTGAAAGAACAGCCTGCTGGTCATTATCAGCTGCTACTGTTTACCAGGACACTTACAATTTAAGGAGACATGTAATTAACTCTGTATCTCATAACATTTGATTTACAGTTTGAAAATCTCTTGTTTTTGTGCTGACATTTTTTGCCTGTTTACATAAAGCAGATTTGTTACAATTAAAATGCTCTTTTTTAAGATCAAGTGTTCTCTCATTAAAGGTGGGGTAGGTAATTTTGGAGAAACCAGCTTGAGATCGCTAGAATTTGAAAATACACAGCCGGAAGAAATCTGCCACTTCCTTACAGAGCCCCTCCTCCAACACACACGAACGCGCACATGACCAATGAGGGCACGAGATAAGTTTGTGCACAGATGGAAGGCTGACAGGCAGGTAGGCCATCCAGTTATTTTAGCCGGGCCGGCTCAGATGATTGGTCGTGCTTTTTTACAGTACTACGGCTTCCACAGATGATATTTTTTTATGGATTTTTTGTCAAAGCACTTAAGATATTTATTGCTATCGGGGTGTTAAGAGCATTCCATGGAATATAACAAGTGTATCTCGAGCCGGTTTCTCAAACGTACCTACCCTACCTTTAAGCTACTAGTTATTTTGCCGAATTAGATTATTAATAGTAATCAAATAATACATTTTGATGTTAACAATCTGGACGTTGGGGTTTAAATCGCAGCCCAACATGTATATGTATCTTTGGGCAAGATAGTTGACCACAAGTCGCTCCAGATGACCAACGGTGTGTGGGTATCAATATTAGCATCCTTGGGCAGGTGGCCCCTTGTATAGCAGCCCCTGAATCTGAATCTGTATATGTGGGTGAATAACTCCAACAATGGTTGTGTCCTAAAGTCCAAAAGACATTAATGGATAATTCTGATTAATGACGACATTATTTCACGTTACTTCATCTTAGTCTGACTTGAGAAGAAAGCACGATCAGACTACAGGCGAGTAGTTTAATCAGATTATCTAAATCACTTTATTTGGAGGTGTGAAATCACCCAAAATCGTATTAATAACCAGACTTTGTAGCGAAAAACACAACTATGGCAAGTACAATGGGTCAAAGTTCAAGTCAGTGTAAATTGTGGATGCCCGGAGACATCTTTTTTACTTCCAAATCAATGTTTTTTTATCTCACTGTGTATCTTTTTTCCTGATTGATTAGAAATATTGCCAATTCCCAAATGTCTGCAGTTGACTGATCGCAGTATGACTTTAGAAAACTGACTTCAACTTGTTCTTCTTAACTTTCGATATTCAATACCTTCTCTGCAGTTTCAGTTACACAACTTATACCGACATTTGACAGCAAAAAAATGAAGAAGTGGAGCTAACCGAACACAATATGGTAATTCTGTCACAGCGTGCATGGCCCCCAGCATTATAATCCAAAAATACACTTGTTTTACGATCAAACCGAGAGAAACTCTGGGAATAAATGTGGCGGCGCTGACTTTAAATCATTTTAAGATGTCAGTGGCGCTGTATGGCTTCGGAGACGTGACCTTTGAGAAGCCGAGCTTTCTGCTTATTACTCGGTGGTCTTTTCAAACTTGACATTAAGTCGCGGAGCTTCATATAAATGAGGAAATAGATTCAAGAAATGAGAAGGAGGCGAAGGGAGGGCAGGAACCCCAGCAATGCTGTCAGAATCCTCCGAGGTTAGCAGCTGTCTCTGCTCATAAATCTCCGCGTGTGCAACCCTCTTTAAGTTTCTTATTTTTGGAAGAAGGTAACTGAAGCCCGGCGGACTCATTTCCCGTCAGGGGTCGGGGGTAAAAATAGCTCAGGTGCTTGAGGGAAGTCAGAGGATCAGGAGAGACTTTAAGGGATTAAATGCTGCAGGACATGTCAACATTAAGAGGAAACAACAACTCAATGTGAAACAGTCTGTGATTTGATCTGTTGTCTTACATAATGGACTTAAGTAAACAACATCTTATTGTTATTTTGTTCCTCTTCATTGATTTTGGTGCTAATGTAAACCAAAAAGTAATGGAAAGTAATCGGGTTACTTAGATTACTGATTCGTTTGTTTTTTTACAGGTAACTAGCAATTGTAACAGAATACCTTTTTTAAGTTACTCTCCCAACCCTGTCTCATTTTAACTCGTTTTTAATGTTGTGATTTTATTTTATATACACTTAAAAGGTGGGGTATGTAATTCACTTCAGAAACACTTGTTATATTCCATGGAATGCTCTTAACATCCCGATAGCAATGAATACATTAAATGCTTTGACAATAAATACATAAAAAAGGTCATCTGTGGAAGCCGTGGCGCTGTAAAAAGCACGACCAATCATCTGAGCCGGCCCGGCTAAAATAACTGGATGGCCTACCTGCCTGTCAGCCTTCCATCTGTGCACAAATTTATCTCGTGCCCTCATTGGTCATGTGCGCGTTCGTGTGTGTTGGAGGAGGGGCTCTGTAAGGAAGTGGCAGATTTTTTCCGGCTGTGTATTTTCAAATTCTAGCGCACTCGAGCTGGTTTCTCCAAAATGACCTACCCCACCTTTAATAGTCCCACAGAGGGGACATTTACACCTAAGGCTCATCTCAATTGAATATTTCACCTCCTTTCCCTCACTCGCGTCCCTTCCTTGCGTCCTCCGTAAGACACGAGCGAGAGACACGAGGAAGAGACGCGAGGACAGAGGAGTCCTCAGATATTAATTGGGATGTCCTCGTTCACTCCAGCGTCACCATAAACAACACTTTCGCCTAGTCTGCTCTCGTGTATCCTCCCTTTCGTATCCTCTGGAAGCGTCCTCCCTCAACTCCTCCGTGTGCATTTCAGCAATTGGGACGTCCTTCAAAATGGCGTGTCTTGATCGATTTTCGGGTCAAGTCCCGGAGGAGGGGGAGAGAGGAGTCGAGGAGGGACATTGAGATGAACCTCTTGTCTAGGGAAAGGTGCCTTGCTCAGAGACACCTCGGTAACACTTGGTCTTTCGGGGACTTGAACCGGTCTCTATGGACTTCGCCACCGAGTACAATTTTGATGTTCTTGTGTTTAACTTTTCATTTTTCTACATTTTGGAGGAAAATGTCGCACTTTTTACTTCACTACATTTATTTGACAGCTTTAATTGATAGCTTCTTTGCAGATTTAAATTATGATATATGAATCAAACAATACATTATTATTAGACACCTTTATTATAATACGTTAAGCTACCTAGGAGTATTTCAAGTCATTCAAGTAACGTTACCAGGTGACAACATTGAAGTGATTCACATTTTATACATCACTACGTTTATGAATGAATATGTTTTTGAAATGTTCTAGATAACGAGTACTTTTGCTTGTAATACTTTAAGTATCTTTTGATGCTAATACTTATATCTATCTAGTATTGCTACTTAAATTAAGTCCAATATATTTGTATTCACCCACTGGTTGTGATTTTGTAAATGATGGACCTGTCTACAATATCCCGTTATTGTGATCATCATATGAAATCTGTATTTCCAGGACATTAAAACCTAATAAAAACATAAAAACAGCACAATTAGAAGTTAATTGAAGCTCCTGCAAAACAATTCTGTCTTGTTTTATTCAAAGATAATGACACGCATCAAAGTCTGTGCTTCCTTGGTGCATTAAACCAATATGTGTTAATTGTGATATTCACATTTCCAACAAGAAATGTCAGATAAGGCGAAGAAACAATACAATTCAACTTGTCAAACATGTCCAAAAAATACTTGAATATATATTTTTATTTAAAGTATTTACAGTGTTTTTCCTTACCACAGTTAGCACCACATGTATAATGTTTTTTAATGAATGAGAACCTCTTGTTTAGGATGATGTTGGAGATGCACAAACAAGAAGGAAAGAAAAGACACTTCACATGTTGCTTGTGACCTATACATGCCTTTATGATGAATTCAGCAGTCTACAAAAAGCTGGCTGCAGTAAATGAAATGAAATGGTGGGACATGGAGGTTAGGTTGATTACAAAATGCACGATTCGATCAGCGATGGCGCTCCAAATTAAGAAATCTGACATGAAGTCTGTCTGAAATGGTTCTTCGTTTTCCTTTTGCTCCATGATGCTCTCATCTTAATCTCTGCTGGCGAACTGAAAGACAAAAAACACATTAAGAACACATTATAAAATTGCAATTAAAATACAATTACAAAGGCAAGAAATATAGATAAATCATGCTAAAATAAAAAAGACTGGTAAAAAGAACAACAACAAAAGTCAGCAGAGAGAAAACATATTAAATGTGGTATAAAAGACATTAGAAAGATGCTCAACATGCCCTTAGTACCTCTATGAGACCCAGCCTATTTGATTTCTCCTCTATTTCACACACTCCTCTTGCCCTGTGCATCTTATCCCAATATTTTCATAGTTTTGTATGATTTTGTGAGATTGTATGATTGTTCTCTCTCACGTCATTGAGTCGTGTGATGGCCATGGCCTTTATGTAGACGACACACACATTTAAATAACCATTTCACCAGAAGAGTATGTTCCAAATCAAGCACTGAGTGAGTGCATTGAACAAATCAATGGTTGGACATGTCAGAATTGTCTTCAATTAACCCTTAAGTTGTGTTGGGGTCTCCCGTGACCCGTTTCAAGTTAAAATTATATAATAACTACGCTCTAGTTTTTTGTATCGGAGCAAGGCTTCATGATATCCTCCACAACAGCTATATAAACACTACAAAACTGATTTTGACCATTTTAGCCAAGTCTGAAGGTCTCTAAAAAATAAAGTGTATAATTTGGTGTTGGGGTCTGGGGAGACCCAGCAGAAATGTTTTGGGTGACTCGAGGTCAAATTTGGCCCAATCAAGATTCCTCTTTGACTTTAGACGCCCCTCCCCCACCCCCTTCATACACTGTAACAATCATTTTTCGCAACATGCACCTGGTCTCCCCTCCCTCTGCCCCCCTCCCCCCCACGGGAACTCCACCTTTCTCAAAGAATATGTACACTAACACTTGAACCTGAACACACACATGCACGTGTTCAATATGTGGTGTAATGTGTTTTGGGCCATAACATTAAATTACAACAGGATTGTACGGTTATGAATGCATTATAAGTTAGTTATGATGTAGTTAAAACAATATTGGATGATAGTCATTTTTATTTTGTGTTTTGGACTGAAATAAATCATGGGTCAAAATTGACCCGCGAACAGCTTTAACAGCTTTCGAACACAACACAAGGGTTAATATAAAAACACATGACATGTTTATACAATACGCTAAAAGTGATTGTTTTTGGAGCCAAAGAGGCAATCGGCAATGTTAAAAAGTCAGAAATCTGGGAGTAGTCATGGACTCAGACTTCAATTTCCAGAGTCGCATTAAGACAGTTACAAAGTCTGCCTACTATCACCTTAAGAATACATCTATGCATTACATGAATGCACACAATATCTTGTTTTTTTATTACTACACATATTTCATTCCAATTCTATTTCAATGTAAATACTGCTATATATATGTTTTAATGTTATTATAGTTTTCTTAACATAGTTTTCTATCAGTGTTTTTCATTTTCATTTTGTTTTACTTTAATGTATCAAGATCAAGTCAAATTCCTCGTACGTGTCAACCTACCTGGTAGTAAACCTGTTTCTGATTCTGATTTTGATTAAAGGACTTATGCCTCAACAGGATTTGGAAAAAAACTGTCATGGATATTATCTTCTATCTCTGTATAATTCTATATAGTTCTCACTCTTGTCGTTGTTTCGTGTTGAAATTGAGTGAGTGCATTGAACAAATCAACGGTTGGATGCGTCAGAGCTTTCTTCAATTAAACAAAGATAAAACTGAGGTATTTGTTTTTGGAGCTAAAGAGGAACTATTCAAAGTAAGCACTCAATGTTAAAAACAACGGAAAAGTTCAGAAATCTAGATGTAGTCATGGACTCTGACCCTTAAGAAAATAACAAAGTCCGCCTACCATCACCTTATATATATATATAGGATTAAAGGAGTTATGCCTCAGCAGGATTTGGAAAAAACATGTCATGGATATATCTTCTATCTCTGTATAATTATAAGATAAGATAAGAGGTACTTCATTGATCCCAAATTGGGACATTTTTGCGTTGCAGCAGCATAAAAAACAACCAAACAACGACTATATGAGTAGATTTCTGGTGGTTCTCACTCATGTCGTTGTTTCGCGTGATGGCGATGGCGGCTCTGGCGCGAGGCCCCTGCTGGGTGAAGTGGTATCCAAATTTGAGGATGCTGGAGTTGTTCTCCAACATGGAGGCGATCTCCATCTCCACCGAGTCTCCCAGCTTCTGCCTCTGTGGCACAGGAAGAGAGCGTTACATTTAAACACAGCTTATCACCGTCTGCCTGGATTTAAGTACACACATCCTTTACTCAAGTAGAAGTACAGATACTCGTGTTTTAAAATACTCTGGTGAAAGTAGAAGTACTAACTAAACTTCTTTACTCAAGTAAAAGTAAAGAGGGCTTTGAAATGTACTTCAGTAAAAAGTACCCATAACTAGCAGCTGTTTTAAAGAGTACCTGACCTCCCTTTATATTAATAGAACAATAATGTCATTGTTAGCTAATGAATGTTTCCATGCTGAACAACGGCAACATGACAACGTTTTCATTGGTCCCTCTTCTTTAGAGAAGACCAGGAAATGATGGATACACGGATCGTGTTCAAATCAATAGGCACGCAATGACTCTAAATAATAATGATCACGCCACCAAACACACATTCAAACTAAAGGAACCAGCCTGTTTGGAAAATGAGAGAAGTAGAAAGTACAGGTATTTGTGTTCAAAATGTAAGAAGTAGAAAGTTCAGGTATTTGTGTTCAAAATGTAAGAAGTAGAAAGTACAGGTATTTGTGTTCAAAATGTAAGAAGTAGAAAGTTCAGGTATTTGTGTTCAAAATGTAAGAAGTAGAAAGTACAGGTATTTGTGTTCAAAATGTAAGAAGTAGAAAGTACAGGTATTTGTGTTCAAAATGTAAGAAGTCAAAGTAAAAAGTCGTCAGAAAAATAAGTAGTGGAGTAAAGTACTGATACCAGAAAAATGTACTTAAGTACAGTAACAAAGTATTTGAATTCAGGTGTTCAGAACTCAGAGTTTCAGACCTGGTTGTCGATCTTCAGCTCCACCAGGGTGGCGTTGTTAGCCATAGCTTTGATGACTTTGATCATGCCGTCAGAAGTGATGAAGTTGGACTCAACATTAAGACTCTGCAAGCTGGTGTTCTCCTGCAGCATCTCTGCACACGCCTGGCACACACACACACACACACACACACACACACACACACACACACACACACACACACACACACACACACACACACACACACACACACACACACACACACACACACACACCACACACACACACACACACACACACACACACACACACACACACACACACACACACACACACACACACACACACACACACACCCATATAAACACTATCAATACACACACTTCAACATAAAATCGAATTCTTTCCGTACTCATTGTGGATGCCATGCTTAAAGAAATACTTTATCCCCAAATGATCTTTTATAAATAAATGTCTAACCCCATGTTAGCTTGAATTCTTGCAGAACACTTTTCTAAAATGCTTCACCTTGAACAAAGTATCCATAAAAGGAGAAAAGTCTTGACAAATTGAAGTCAAAGTCTTTATTCACAGTGAAGGCATGCCATAAAAACATGTTTTTTCAAGGATTCGAGGTAACAAGAGGTGAGTAATGATAATTCAATGGTCGTTTTGTGGGTACAGTATTGGACAGGTATAAATGGCAGAGATGCAGAAACGTATCTTCTTACCGGTTTTAAATATCTACGTAAATGGCTCATGGGGTAATTTAAAATACCCAGCTGTCCTGTTGTAACCTTTATACTCACATAGGCCACAGGGTCGTTGCTGCGCGTGGCAGCGATGCTCAGAGACTCCACCTGAGAGTTCCCCTTCATCGCCTCGAAGATCTCCCTCAGCGTCGGGATGGGAATGTCCTGCAGAGAGACAGAGGGACTTTAATAAGCTTTATTTATGTATTTATTAACAAGGAAACAAGGTTCCCAGAAACCTGTTTGAACCTCTCTGAGTTTCCTCGGCCTGCTGACCTTGATGTTGTTGAGGTTGACCTCTGTCAGGCTGCTGTCGTTGTTGTGGATCCTCTCCAGAGTCTCCTCCACGTTGGTGGGGTTGGGCATCTCGTCTGGGAAGATCTTAAACGGATCTGGTTTCACTACGCCTGAAAATGAAACAACAACATGGCTCAGAATCCAGAGTTCAAAGCTTCTCTGCATTTGTTTGGAAACAAACTTAAGGCGAGTCAGAACCCACGACCCCAACAAAGGACTTTTCATGTTTAGAAAGGGCGTTAAATGCCACAAAAGTATTATTTTCTTGACTATCTTTACTGTTGGGAAAATCCTGAATGTCCTCTTCCAATATGAGAGTCCACATGATAACAAAGGTATCCCAACTGTAGCTGTGTACATGACAGGATGTATGATTACCTAGAAGAGCATCAGGACTGTTTGAGGCATATGATAGCTATGTGATGAACATGATGATTCAGCCTCTATGGAGATAGACATATGACAAGCATGCTCATTTCTGACGTGGAGCTCATCTGAAGTAAACATTGAATACTGCAGAATTTTGAAGGCACTGTTCAGGAACTAGTTGATGCTCTGTATGTGATGACTACTTCCATTCTGGAGAGGATCAGAAATACATGGATCCTGAGATTGAAGATCAAGCCGGTGACGAGTGATATTTTTCAGACAGTTCATTGTGCTAATGAGAAGACGTACTGTTGATGCCCTCGGTGTTGGCGATGGTGCCGGTCATGCCCAGAGCGTCGTAGTACTGCTTGTTGCTCATCAGCGTGTACATCCCCAGGATAGCTGCGGGAAAACAATCACGATGAATACAACATCTGTGATTTATGAATGAGATCAGAATGAATGTCCTGCATGCACTGATAACCCCAAAACAAGTTAAAGATTGTATTTAGAGGCAAGCAACAACGCAGTATTATGAACAGGATGTATGCAAACATGTTTCCAGCTTCATAGTTTCTATTCACTGCATTGCTTTTTATTAGCAGATCCCATGTTTTGTGAAACCTCAATATGCAAAGTTAGAAGTGATTACAGTTGTCAGACAAACTTAGTAATGTAAAGTACACCGACCTTATTGATATGAGAGCACAAATTAAAAATACTGAAGTATGAGCACCTCCAAAGCTAAAAGTGTAACACATTCAAACAGGGGGATAATATACAGTTACACCATGACAAGATGATAGGTGCTTTACTATAAGATACAATTAAAAAGAGACCAGTTATATTGAGAGAATTAGTGAATAATATACTGTAAGCATAGTCACTTTAATTTTAAGCCATATGAAAGGAAATATTGTGTAGTGTTGTGTGTACTTTACAAGTGGTCTGCAAGTCAGCGATATATTTTGACGTGAGGTTAAGTGACACTGAATGTACCTATTTTTAAATAATGAATCAGGTTTATTACCAGGTTGGTTGACACGTACATGTAAGAGGAATTTGATATGGTGTTGTGGTGCATCAAGTAAAACAACAATTAAAAACACAGATAGAAAACTATTTTAAAAAGACTATAATAACATAACAAAACAAATATATATATATGGTAAAATATAGCAGTATTTACATTATGTGTAACACCTTCACTGAACAGATATTACTGACAGTCCTGTCGTTACGCTGTGTGACCAGCAGGGGGCAGAGCTGCTAATGATGTAACCTGACAAACTGAGTCTCACTCTGACAGACCCCCCTGTGGGGAACCATGGGAGGGGGGGGGGGGGGGGGGGGGGGGGGGGGGGGGGGGGAGACAGCTGGTTAGGGGGGAGAGAGGGAGACCATAAAAAAAACCCTCATCATCCGGTTCAGCCCTTAGAATAACCCACAGGAGCTTCACAGCACAAACTAGACTGCAGCAGCAACTAGAAAGCTCAATATCAGGAAACGTAAGGATATTTGGTTCTGAAATCTTGCCTAAAAGATTTTGCATTGAGTACTTTATTCAAAGGAAATCAAGATTGTTGACTTTAAATGCTGTAGTTATGGCTTATAAACAGTAGCTTCACAGCACAAACTAGACTGCAGCAACTAGAAAGCTCAATATGAGAATTATGTTGATATAAATACATATTAAGTCACTGGAGCTTGTTGGAGCTTGTTGGAGCTTGTTGGAGCTCTCTCTCTCTCTCCTCTCTCTCTCCTCTCTCTCTCCTCTCTCTCTCTCCTCTCTCTCTCCTCTCTCTCTCCTCTCTCTCTCTCTCTCTCCTGTTGGCCCGTTTGCCAAAAAGCCCAAACAAAAGCCTGTCTGAGGTTTGATCCTCCTCTGGACTCCATCCAGCCGTCAGAGGTGGGAGGAGTACTCAGATATTATACTTGAGTAAAAGTAGAAGTACTAGTAATGTCATTGTTAGCTAATGAATGTTTCCATGCTGAACAACGGCAACATGACAACGTTTTCATTGGTCCCTCTTCTTTAGAGAAGACCAGGAAATGATGGATACACGGATCGTGTTCAAATCAATAGGCACGCAATGACTCTAAATAATAATGATCACGCCACCAAACACACATTCAAACTAAAGGAACCAGCCTGTTTGGGAAATGTAAGAAGTAGAAAGTACAGGTATTTGTGTTCAACATGTAAGAAGTAGAAAGTACAGGTATTTGTGTTCAACATGTAAGAAGTAGAAAGTACAGGTATTTGTGTTCAACATGTAAGAAGTCAAAGTAAAAAGTCGTCAGAGAAATAAGTAGTGGAGTAAAGTACAGTATACACTTTTAAAGGTCTGTTTAACTGAATGTGAGCTTCAGGAAACATGATAAACTGCAGCCTGAGTATCTGTGTGAGCAGTAGCTTCCCACTGGTCTGTTTTGAACAGATACAGTATCTCCCCCCCCCCCCCCCCATGTTCACTCCTCCCTGTCCATCTGGCCTGCTTGTTTATTTCTGTGTTGCTGAGCGTGGGGAATTGGATCCCAGCTCATGTCTGCTGGCTTTGGAGAACTGAGTCCACTGAGGGGGACAATATCAAGCTAGAACTGGGTCTGTGTGACAGAAGGACATTTAAAAACGAATAGTGTAGGAGCCATTTAACTGAGTTTATTATATAAGTTTTGTTTTTATTTTAATTGTTTAAAGGTCTCCTATCATGCTATTTTTAGGCATATATTATGGGTCTCAGGTATATACAAATATATAAAAAACATGTCTATGATGTGTTTTGCTCAAAATACCAAACAGATCATGCATTTTAGACATCCCTCATATCCCTCTGTTTCAGGCCTGATAGAGAAACGCTGATTCAGGCGTGATTAAATGCCATCATGTTCCAAACCACATCAAGGATTATTTCTGAAACAGTACGGAGCTCAAATGCTTCTTCTCTTACGGGTTTACCACAAGGTGAGTTCCTTTTTATGTCCTGCTTCTTTACACATACTCTCTCCAGTACAGGTTAGCTCTGAGTGTTAGCGATGCTTGCTAATGTAAACAAAGACCATATTACTTCCAAAACACGTCAGGCATTGTTTCTGATAGCAACGTTTCTGATAGGTCCGTGGGTGTAAAGCCTGCCCACATTTCCGATATTACGTCATATCGGACGCAAATCTGGATTAACTTCCGTTGTAGCCCGTTTTTAGAGATTTGGGTACGGAGGAAAAGAGAGAGGGTTTTATTTTCTGACACTTTGTGAGTTCCCTGACACACCGGGGACACATCTTTTTGCATGATAGGTCCCCTTTAAGGAAGTAGTAACATTTAAGATCCAGTGATACTAGTACTACCATCAACTGTAGTATCATTAAAAGAGTGTCTAACCTGCGATGTCGCACATCTCAGCGTCCGTGGCGTTCTTCAGAGCCTCCTCCAGCTCCGGCTCCAGCTTCACCTGCTCGTTCTCTGGGATATCTGCCGCTTTCTTGGCCTCAAAGGTCTTTCCTGGGGATTCAAATAAAGAAAAACACGAGTTAAGATGTAAACCTTAAGAAAAAAAGACAGAAGGACAATCAGACATGAGAAAGAAGTAGGAGGAGAAACAAGCGGAGGCGGACATAAAGAGACTTCTGTGTTTTTATGCATCAGTCATCAAGTTTCCCAGGGTTTTCTTTCTTGTAATCTTCATGGGGTTTTATCAGTCTGAATAGTTTTAGTAAAAGCTCTGTTTGGATCATGTTTCCCCAAACACAAGCTATTTCTAGCTTATCATGGATTTGTGTTTTCCACTGGAGACTAGCTTATGGTCTCTTATCTTTTTTATTCATGCTTTGATCATTCATCTTATCAATGTTGGTTGTTACAAAAACACATTTAAGAAAGGACATAGATATGGCTGTTGTTTGATTGATTTCCTTTTTAAGAGTCTCGCAGTGCAGGCCTTGTACGTTATTAATTATTGCAGAGGACATATTCTGCTCATGCTCTGTGACATGTCTCCATGCTTTAATGTTCAGAAAGCTCTTTATTTCTCTCATACTGCCTGTGCTGCAGCACCTCTTTTCACCCTCTGTCTGAAACCAGAGCCCAGTCTGCTCTGATTGGTTAGCTGGCCGGCTCTGTTGTGATTGGTCAACCGCTTAGAGATGTCCCGCCCCTTAGCCTATCATGTACAATGTGTCGGAGCACTAGCCAATAGAAGCACGCGTGTAACATAGTGATGTCTGATTCATCTGGAGGGAACTTTAGGATTTTACCCTTTGCAGACAATTTACATGCAAACTATATAACATACTACTAACTAATTAGTGCATATGTATAAATGTGTCTGTTGATTGTATATATATATATAGGATATACATATTCTATACATATTTTTATATATATTTGTATTTTTGTATTCAGGATTGTGTGCAACGGTATTTCGATCTCTCTGTCTGTACACACAAACTGAAAGATTGACAATCAAGTTGACTTGGTAGAGGAAAGGGAAAAGCCCAAATAGCATAAAAGGGTTTCTTAAAATCTGCAACATGCAACAGTTCACGCTCCAGCAGGAACTACAGTGCAAATATTTGTAGGTAAATTATTTCCTGGAAGGCCTTGGCGTGTCTGCCTGTAAGAGTTTGATGGAAATGGCCCCGAAAACTCAGTGATCTGCAGAAACCCCACACACACTGACACTAAAAGCTCCTGAGCAGTGGAGCATCACATAGTCAAACCCTGTACAGCTGAGTGAGGGACGTAAGACTTTGCACAAACAGTTAGTCCTTGTTTTTATTATCTTTGCTTTTAAAATGCCATTTTATAATATGTTTCTTAATGCCCTTTTTTTTTCACAATATATATATATTTTTTTTTTTTTTTTTTTTTTCTTTGGATGGAATGAATACCTATGGTGATAATTCAATGTAATACACCATTTTTATAGTCTGGTACCTGAAAAAGGTCAAATGGCACTGATGGAACCAGATGTACCCAAATGTGCCGAAAGCTTATTCCGCCTGGACCTTTTTTTTCCTAAACCTCTCTAAAAAGGTCAAATTTAACTTGTTTTGCCTCAATCTTGATACAGGGTACTTATTATATGTTATACTTTGGATTCCTAACGCTTTTAGTCTACCATCCCATCATTCAAGGGTGGTTTTCACTATAAGTAATGTTTTCTCTTTAGGCGGAGGTAAGAATTTACCTTTTTTTGCTATGTTCCATCTGAATTTACTCTGACTGAGAAATATCTATATTGATTCTGACACTTCTACATCCAACTCACAGATGTAACCTTGCTTTGATAAAAGAAATTATTCATATAACCCTTTTAGAAGTTAAGTTGTAGTCATTTGTTTTGGGCATGTCATTTTTCGAGCCTGAAACCTGAAAAACAGGCTCGGGGCTTAACAGGTTAATGTCTTTCATTTTTGTAAAGCACTTTGAATTGCCTTGTGTTGAAAGGTGCTATATAAATAAACTTGCCTTGTTGTTGCATTAAAATGACTTAAATGTAATATGTTGTGGCAGGATGTCTGCACTAGGGCTGCACAATGAAACAAGAATGAATCAAAATCACGGACAAATGCAATATCCAAATTGCAGTAATAGCAATATTTGGTCAAAGCTAAATATATGAAAATATCCCATAGCAGAGAAGTCATGGTATTCTACAGACTTAATAAGTACACATCTGTGTTTGGTACATATAGTTGTCGTGGCTTCCTTCCTTGTTTTTCTTTCAAGCCACTAGACGCCTTAAACAGACATTTCTAACTAGTTTTCTTTCCTCTATATTACTTACAGTTGAAGAGTTGCTTGGCCTCCGATGGTTTGGATGATATTAAGCGATGTGTTTGCTCAAAATAAAATAACACACTTTTACACATGCAACAAAGAAAAGAGGCCTTTACAATAGTCAAAACAAAGAGGCAAAACTCAAATAAAATAACAAACAACTTAGGTGTTCTTTCTTTCTTGATAAGGCTTATATAACTTCATAACTTAAAGGGTACTTGAACGGTTAAAAGCGGTGCCTCGACGGCATCTTTCTGACAGGTTGCAGCCCATCACTGTGACTTTAGAGGAGGCACTGTGGGAATTGTAGTCTTTTATAGTGTGTTGACTACAGACGTCACATTTAGGTGGCCTTTCTTATGAAAACAAAATACTTGCTCTAACATAATAGTCTTGACATTTTTTGTGCAAAAATAATCTCAAATGTTCAGCTCTGACCTTTCTTCTGCCCGGTGAAGGGCACCAGGTCCTCTTTGTCCTCGATCTCCAGCGCCTCCTTCTCCAGGTGCTGCTGCAGCGCGTCGCGGTCGTACGACCCCGTCGGGCCCTTCTTCGTCTGGTCGCGCTGCCGGTAGCCTGCAGGCAGCATGGCATTCTGGGAGAACAAGGGGTCAAATGTAATGTTGATGTGGTATTAAAGGTCACCTATTATGCAAAATCCACTTGTTCATGTCTCTTCTACATCAACATGTGTCCCCTCTTCTTCATGTCTTTTCTACATCAACATGTGTCCCCTCTTCTTCATGTCTCTTCTACATCAACATGTGTCCCCTCTTCTTCATGTCTCCTTTACATCAACATGTGTCCCCTCTTCTTCATGTCTCTTCTACATCAACATGTGTCCCCTCTTCTTCATGTCTCTTCTACATCAACATGTGTCCCCTCTTCTCCATGTCTCTTCTACATCAACATGTGTCCCCTCTTCTTCATGTCTCTTCTACATCAACATGTGTCCCCTCTTCTCCATGTCTCTTCTACATCAACATGTGTCCCCTCTTCTTCATGTCTCTTCTACATCAACATGTGTCCCCTCTTCTCCATGTCTTTTCTACATCAACATGTGTCCCCTCTTCTTCATGTCTCTTCTACATCAACATGTGTCCCCTCTTCTCCATGTCTCTTCTACATCAACATGTGTCCCCTCTTCTTCATGTCTCTTCTACATCAACATGTGTCCCCTCTTCTTCATGTCTCTTCTACATCAACATGTGTCCCCTCTTCTTCATGTCTCTTCTACATCAACATGTGTCCCCTCTTCTTCATGTCTCTTCTACATCAACATGTGTCCCCTCTTCTTCATGTCTTTTCTACATCAACATGTGTCCCCTCTTCTCCATGTCTTTTCTACATCAACATGTGTCCCCTCTTCTTCATGTCTCTTCTACATCAACATGTGTCCCCTCTTCTTCATGTCTCTTCTACATCAACATGTGTCCCCTCTTCTTCATGTCTCTTCTACATCAACATGTGTCCCCTCTTCTTCATGTCTCTTCTACATCAACATGTGTCCCCTCTTCTTCATGTCTCTTCTACATCAACATGTGTCCCCTCTTCTTCATGTCTCTTCTACATCAACATGTGTCCCCTCTTCTTCATGTCTCTTCTACATCAACATGAAAATGAGCTGATCAGATTTTGGCCACTTTATGATGTCATCACGATGTTTTGTCTTGTGTAACCATTAGCCAATCAGCAACCAAGGTACCCCCCCCCCCCCCCCCCCACCTTATCACCTGAATCTCCTCCTAGAGCACCATTGAGTTCTTTTTAACCAAATATCTCTCAGAGGGGCGTGGGGAGGGGCTCCTTATTTTCATCTAAAGTAACAGACAGAGAATCAGCACTTTGGAAACAGGGCTGAAACAGAGGGGATTATGGGTAATGCTGCAATGATCAGTTTATATAATTGTTAGGTAACTTTGTATTGCATACTATAATTGTTTTGTTATAATGTACATTGTATTCATCTAATACTGACAAACTATATCACAAAATATGGAAACACGTGGGTGGGTGATCGTGTGCAAAGACTGCTGCATTCTGGGAGAACAAGGGGTCAAATGTTATGTTGATATGGTATTAAAACCAGGGAACATGAGAGGATGGATTCAGTGCTTTTTACAGTAAAGGAGGGACGGAGTGGATCGAAAATGTTTTGGACATATCACTCATTTTTATCCTTTTTTTATTACTGATTTACTTTTATTTCTTAATGCACCACTTAAAGAGTTATGTGGTTTTAAGGGAGACATGTTCGTATAAAACTCTTTAGCTGCATGTAGTTCTGCAGTTACCATACAAGTTAAAGTGGACCTATCATGCTATATTATAATAATATAGTGTAGGACCATACCTATATTAGGCATATTTATACTTTTTTTTTTTCAAAATACCAAACAGATCATGCATTTTAGCCATGCCTCATTTTGCTCAATTTGACATTTTTTAGCTCTGTTTTTGCAAGGGCAGATTCTGTGAGAACAGCACCATCTACAGGCCTGGCATATGTACTACAGCGTCTCCAGCGCTTTCGAACGGCAATGGCCGTGGCTGTCTCCTCCTGATTGGTGGAGTTGGCCCAATAGCCGTAGCGCCACCATCCTGACGTCAGGACAGTGTTCAAATCTGGATCAGTTTTTATCAGATCCGTTGCAGCCCCTTTTTTAGAGATTTGGGTATGGAGGAAAATAGAGAGGGTTGTGTTTTCTGACACTTGGTGAGTTCCCTGGAACACCGGGGACACATATTCATGTAGAAAAGACGTACAAAAGTGCATTTTGCATGATAGGTCCCCTTTAAGGCAGTTTGCTGTATATAATTGTTGCATACTATCATATGTTTTTGTTTTTAAGATGTTATAATATACATTGTATTCATCCAATACTGACAACCTGTATCACAAAATATGGAAACACGTGGGTGGGCGATCGTGTGCAAAGACAAAGGCTGTCTGAATCATGTTCTGTTATCATTTTAATTTGGTAAACCTTGTTATGGCAACACTTGCTTTGACTGAGTGCCGCTTGATTTCACTTCAATTGATCTTTTGCCCCTTGCTGCTCACTTCTTGTATTTGACCCATTTAATCACCGGAGGAGAGACATCTCAGTGCTCTCATAGTGAGCGTTTGTGTTTCGCTTTAAGTATTCGATTCATGTACAACATCTTAAGCATGCTAGTCGACTAAGATCTTCCTTATTCTACGACAGCCCTAATGGTCATTTTTGTAATAATAGACTAACAATCTTTCAATTTTGAGCTGAATGACTTATGATTATTGAATCGTGAGAAGATCTCTTGCTAGAGTGGTGCAAATAAATATAAAATAATATTCTGATTCTGCAGATTCTGACTCTTATTTGATTTGATATTGCAAATGATTAATTCTCACATTCATATACATATTTAAAGTTTACAAATATAAAATCATTTTCTGACCCTGTGGCATTGGATAAAGAGACCCGAAGCCGCCCACATTAGCAGATTAAGAGAAATAAAATGTGTCTTGTACCTCAGGGTCCATCTCCTGCAGCTCGTACTCCAGCTGGTCCAGCTCGGCGGCGCTGAGGCCCTTCAGGAGGGCGTCCTCATCGATGTCCCGGGGGTCCGACATGGCTCCTGGTGCTCTGGCTCACACACACACACACTCACTCACACACACCAGCGCACACACCTGGGCGAGAGTGCACTGTGGGACAAAGAAGAGAGACAAGAGAGGAGGGGGGGATCAGAGTTTGTTTTGCACTTTGGAGTCTTGTAATGATGAGCTGAAATATTGTGGAAGTTTATTTAAAATAAAACTATTATTTAGAAGCCAAATCCTGTTATCAGGAAGACAGCTTTTTCTGCAGTTTCTTAATGTAAAATATCATTGTTAAAACAGTTGGCTAATATTTTTCTTTCGTCAACTAATTGATCAGTCGCTAATCGATACAACTTTATGTGGTGCATATAGTATTGTGCCATATGCCATATTATATACATTTCGTAATATGTTTTTTTTAACTTTTATATTTACCCAATATCCAAGAATTACAAAATTACTTAAATAATTGAAGGAAATACAAATAAAATATACATTAACACTAAAAGTATCTAAGCATTAAAAAATATACATAATAAATACGAATACTCTGATATACCAATCAAATATCGAATCATATTTAGTATTGGCATATTTTTAAATATGCAATGCATATCATATTGTTTTGTGTTGTATTGCAACCAATACTTAATGAACAGTATTGTATTGTACTTCATTTGTAACTGTATTAAACAGTTGTATACTGTTCATATTGTATTGAGAATGTTTCAGCTCATGGTCAGCACATTTATAGTTATTTAGGACTCCAGGGCGCTCCCATGTTTTCCAACTATTTGACCAAATTAGAAATGCCTTTGTCCTTATTCTACCTGGGGACCCCCTGGAGTCCCACTGTCCTTTCCAAACAGTGTCAGATCCTCAATGAGCTTATCGCCTGTCTCATCCACAGAGCTTTAATAATGGACGATAATAATAGATGCATTTCCAATAACAAATGTGCAATACTCAGGAGAGTAGTGTCTGTGTCACTGTGCCTCCAGGCCACACGTTAACACACTGTACGCTTCATTGTTCAACTTAAAGGTCCCCTATTATGCAAAATCCACTTCTTCATGTCTCTTCTACATCAACATGTGTCCCCTCTTCTTCATGTCTCTTCTACATCACCATGTGTCCCCTCTTCTTCATGTCTCTTCTACATCAACATGTGTCCCCTCTTCTTCATGTCTCTTCTACATCAACATGTGTCCCCTCTTCTCCATGTCTCTTCTACATCAACATGTGTCCCCTCTTCTTCATGTCTCTTCTACATCAACATGTGTCCCCTCTTCTTCATGTCTCTTCTGCATCAACATGTGTCCCCTCTTCTTCATGTCTCTTCTACATCAACATGTGTCCCCTCTTCTTCATGTCTCTTCTACATCAACATGTGTCCCCTCTTCTTCATGTCTCTTCTACATCAACATGTGTCCCCTCTTCTTCATGTCTCTTCTACATCAACATGTGTCCCCTCTTCTTCATGTCTCTTCTACATCAACATGTGTCCCCTCTTCTTCATGTCTCTTCTACATCAACATGTGTCCCCTCTTCTTCATGTCTCTTCTACATCAACATGTGTCCCCTCTTCTTCATGTCTCTTCTACATCAACATGTGTCCCCTCTTCTTCATGTCTCTTCTACATCAACATGTGTCCCCTCTTCTTCATGTCTCTTCTACATCAACATGTGTCCCCTCTTCTTCATGTCTCTTCTTCATCAACATGTGTCCCCTCTGTGGAAAGAGACTCTGAAAGTTTCAGGAACAAAGATTCTCTCTCTTTTTGTCCTGATCCATTTCTATAAAAACCTGTCTGAAAATGAGCTGATCAGATTTTGGCCACGTTATGATGTCATAAGGATGTTTTGTCTTGTGTAACCATTAGCCAATCAGCAACCAAGGTAACCCCCCCCCCCCCCCCCCCCCCCCCCCACCTTATCACCTGAATCTCCTCCTAGAGCACCATTGAGTTCTTTTTAACCAAATCTCTCTCAGAGGGGCGTGGGGAGGGGCTCCTTATTTTCATCTAAAGTAACAGACAGAGAATCAGCACTTTGGAAACAGGGCTGAAACAGAGGGGATTATGGGTAATGCTGCAATGATCTGTTTGGTGTTTCAGCCAATCAGAGACAGGCTCTGGATATATCTGAGACCTGTGATGTATTGATGAAAAACAGTATAATAGGGGACCTTTAAAAACCCTCAAGAGGAGAGAAACAACCCACTGACGTGCGGCTGTTTGACAAACGAGGAGGTGAAGGAAGTGAAGGAAAGAGGGTCTTTGTAACTCTAAACCTTTAGCTCACCACACGGCAAACTAAGAATAGCAGAATGCAGAGAGCAGAGGGGTGGAAAGTGCAATCCCTTATTTATCATTGACGGACACTCGTTCATACATTAGTGGACACACCCGAAACATATCTGCACCCATGTGATGAGAGGCAAAGAGCAGCGAGTTCTAGCAGAGCCATGGAACTGGGAAATGAAGTCCCACAGCGATAACTCTGGGTCAGAGTATGCGTAATGCAGCTATCAGGTTTGTGAGGTTTAATGTTTTCGGGCCAGATTTCATCCCAACTTGGCCAGATGAAGAAAACCCATCACAGCTCAGGTCACAGAATGTGTTTTCATTTATCCAGTGTGCTTTTACCAATGTGATGGCAACAAGAGTTCATGTTTTCTACAGCGTGCAGCTTTTTTCTACAAAAATATATTATCACGTTTATGCTCAGGGGCTTATTTAGTTACACAGGCCATTTTCAATTTGTACTTAAGAAGGACATAAATTGAACTGAGGTGCGTAAGTGTTGTGGATGACATAAGACAAAAAGCCTATAATATGTTCTCCTTAATACTTCACTGTAAAGTCCAACAAGTTGTCCCTGTTTGCAGTCAAAATATAGACACAAAGAAGTGGACAAGGTTATTGAAACGTCACCTATTAGTTTGTGTATAACCGTTTTAAAGCCTTCAGTTGGGCGTTTTGGTCGTCTCCATCTTGTTTTTTGGGATGTGAAAGTGACACGAAAGAGTGGAGCTAAGTACAAACGACAACAACGCATTACAACTAACTCTCATTAAAGGAAAATGCACGATTAAAGTTGTACAAAAAAGACACGGGCAACACCCGAAACGAAACAACACTGTGATAGCGAGCTGTCAATCAAAAAGACTAAAGCATACAGTGCGTCTTTTTGACGCTAAATGGGTCCATCATTTACAAAATCAACACCGCGCTTTGTGGTCAAAACCAGAGGGGTTTTAAATGTGTCAAATTTCCGATAGGCTCTTGAACATTTCCAGCTTTAATGATTATATAATATAAAACCGAATGTAAAGTCTCATTAAAACTAAATAACACTTTGTTTGTGGTTTTTTTGGTGTCAACGTTACTACTTCCTGTACAAAATGAAGGTCGTTTAAAGTTCTGTCAAACCAAAGTCAAAGATCTTTGTTTGAAAACAGTCCTCTGTTCCTGACTCACACACAATGTGACCGTCCGTCACCTCGTTCCTCTCAAGGTAACGCCTGTTTGGTTGGAGTCACTGATCAGATTACATTTTACTAGAAAGGACACACACACACACACACACACACACACACACACACACACACACACACACACACACACACACACACACACACACACACACACACACACACACACACACACACACACACTCCGTTTCATGTCTTGTGACCATCTACCACATGATACACACCATACTGTATGCCCGATCATACAATGGCTGCCAATGAATTAAAGAATGACAAAAGTAGACAAATGTTTTCTCCAAGAACAAGACCATTGAAACCCTCACTCACTATTCATGATTGGTATAAAGATATAACACTGATTATTGGTATATTAACCAAACAAACACAACACCAACAAATACAGCTCAAGATATCAATAGAAATATTGATGCAATATTTGTAGAACTTCAATACATTAAATTCCAAATACTTGTTGGGAGGTGAAAATAGATCTGTTGCCATTACTGTTCACAGCTTAGATTGATTACCCCTTGGATTATTAACATGATGATTTCATACATGATTTATTGGGTTAGGTTTAGGGTGATACCAAATTGGGAAAATGTTTTCGTTAGAGCAGCATTGCACATCATTTGAAACTTAAAAAGAGTAGGAAATAAACTAAGTTGACCGGGAAAGACACAATTCTGTAAACTATCTGACACTATGAAGGGCCAACATCACAGCTAACACAGTTTAAAAGTAGGATATTATTTACAGGAAGTGTGTGAGGAATGGCATATAAATTAAGTATAAAAAGTACAGTGTGAAATCAGCTGTTAAAACTTGCTGCTGTACGCTGGCAGCTCCTTCCTGACGCTGTGTGGCTCTAACGCGTAAATCCAACGACAAAGACACCGGATCAGAGAGGAAGACTGAGGAGATTTAAAGGATGAGAGGAAGGAGGCTGAAGCTCAAAGGACCAGGAGGAGGATACACTACACTCGCTTTCTGTGTGAGAGAGATAGATAGATAGATAGATAGATAGATAGATAGATAGATAGATAGATAGATAGATAGATAGATAGATAGATAGATAGATAGATAGATAGATAGATAGATAGATAGATAGATAGATAGATAGATAGATAGATAGACATCTTCAAAGCGAAACACAAAACCAACATCAGCCGTTAGCTGTTAGCACTCAGAGCTCACAGCTCCTCATATCTGTTCAGAAACTAGACAAAAGTTAAACAAGTACAAACCACAGACTGCCTGTGTCATGGTGAATACAGTCGCTGGTTTATTTATGTCTGTATAGGCCGTTGTTGTGAGTGTGGGCGGTCGGAGCATATATTGAGTTAGCTTAGCCGATCTCCATTCAGAAAACACGCATTTTAAAAGGTTTTTCGCCTGCCGTCTGTTTGCAGACTTGTCAAAGCATTAATTCATGGTTTTTACTAACCGGTATCAGTATGTTGTTACTTCGGCATCATTTTGAAACGTGTATTACAATTAAATCACGGTCAAATATGTTCATTGTGTTGTAGTTTTAGCCACTCACGTCACTAGTTTAGCATATTCAGCCAGGTTGTTGGCCCGGAAAGAACAACGATTTTGGAGGGCCAGAAAAACTGTGTAAAGGTAGCCCTGAGCCGGAACTAGCCCTAGTGGAAACGCAACAGAAAACGGGCCGGGTTTGGCATGGCACGCTTAAACCGTGCTACGCGCTGCAGTGGAAATGCATTAGAGAATGATCAAATGAATTGGAGCAGCCCTATAGAGAGCAGCCTGTGAATTATCCAGTGAATGTATGCGACTCAGTGTCCGTCCAAACGAGGCTCATGTGAATATCCTGCAGTCAAGCCTTTGATCCGTGCTTATTGTTGCGTTAAATGCACGTCTGTCTTCTGACACTCGAGCTAAGTGTGAGCGCTCGGACAACTGCGGACCATCAGCCTGCCAGTCAAGGAACTGGGAACAAAATACTTTGACCTACACATATTTAGATGGACCTCATGTTGACGTTAGTTTGACGTTATAACTGTACGTCTCCTCTTGTAGCACTGCTAAAAGAATTACACATCCAAATGTAATCAATATTTTTGTATCTTGTGTATTAAATAAATTGTGGAAAATGGTACACATTTAAACTTCCTATGTTTATATACATGTATTTATACCGCTTTATTTTATCGGACATTTTCTTTGAATTCTTATCTTTAAATACATTATTTTTTTTAAATATGATTTGTTTGTACATTCTTACTTTCAGGAAACCCAAGTGCCCTTTGGAAAATGAAGTATTCTGATTCTGCCTTTAATTCTGAGGGACTATTTGTTGTCAGCAGTCCAATATAAACTAGTTAGTATATCAAAATAACTGCATGGGCTTTGGCAGATAACAGGAAGTGGCACCCTGATAAACATCCAGACCCAACAACATTGTGTTTTCATTGTTTTGACATTTCATTTGGCTCGTTCCACACGCGCCGCCTGACCACAGCAGAAACAGCCCGTGTGTTTGTGAACGAGCGTCTGTCACCAGAAGGATTTCTATCTAAACCACAACAAACTGAGAGAGGAGCAGCGAGGCGGCCGACAGCTGGCTTTCTTTTTAGGATTAAATCTCATCCTGCAGTAGCTGTCTTTATGAGATCCGTGACATGAGCTAAGCTTGGTTATAAACTACAGTCCATGGTCATAAACGTATGTCTCCATTTTATTGGGGTGGTTAATGGCAGCTACTGCATATTTTTAAGCATTAATACCCAATCTGAAAGTGTGCCAGGTCTGATTCGTCTCTCATGTGTGACATAAATCTAACGTTCAGCAATAGAGAGGTGCAGCAATGAGTCCTACTGGAAATTAGTTTCGACTTCTGGTTCCCTCGTATAATAGTCAGTCAATTATGTTTTTGGTTAGAAGGCTAAAATAAGGTCTGTGGTTAAAACAAGCTGAAGAGATTTGTTCTATCACGGCAGTAAATAACCCACTGGTGGAGGTGGCTAACGACGAGTGACTGAATGAAACCATTAAATGTCACCACGCCGAACATTAGCCGCCTATAGCTTCACGGTTGTGACGTGAAGTCATGTGACGTAGTTTGTTTAAAGCCTACGTTTTTTTGCATACATGCTTCAACTTTCATAAATATAGAGATTATCCTGCTGGACCAGATGTGTACGTATCATAAACGTGTGTTTGCCAAACATCTTTTTTATGCAGTATTCTGAAATCCAATGGAAGAAAAACATTGCTTATTCCGGGTCGGCCTACAACACCCCTGCTGTCAACTCCAGGAAAAGCACATGGAGTCATATTTGACCCGGACACGTTACCTACTTGTGACTCTTCTTAGCAAGTCAGATCAGAATGTGTCATCATTACCACAAGAATAATTAATGAATGTTGCATTCTCCTGCAATAAATGCCTTAGGGCTGAGTTAATTGATCGTTAAAAATGGCGGTCAGCGTGAACTAACTTTTGCCTATTTGCATTTATGGTAACAATTCACCTTTTAAAATGGTGCGGTTTTTCTGTTGTGTGACGTAAGACAACCTCTTCTTGTTTTTTAAGATTATTTTAACCAGGTCGCTTCAGAGGACGGACCAAAGTGAACTCTGACCTCTCATTCCTTCACATTGGAGCAGCTGATCACCCAAACACATGCTTTCGCAGAGGTCCAATTGGATAGGAGGCAGAGAGTATGTTGGGAATTGTAATTTGACTGTGTTTGGGGTTGGATCGTCATAAATTACAGCTAACATGTCAGAAATCTCATGGAGCAAATGTTTCCTCCAACAGGAGCTCCAGCAGCTGCTCTGTTTATCACCGTCTCCAACCATCTGTTACCATTTGTTTTTCCACTTTGGTCACAGAGTTCAGAGATGTCTGATACAGGAAATATCTTATCTTTAAAAACACACTGATTTTAGCAAAGATGGGCAGAGGTGGGAAGTAACTAAGTACATTTACTTAAGAACTTTAGTACAATTAAGAGGTACTTCTTTACTTGAGTATTTCCATTTGCTGCTACTTTGTATTTCTACTCCACTACAGTTCAGAGGTAAATGGTGTACTTGTACTCCACTACATGTATTTAATACCTTTAGTTACTTTACAGATCTGGATGAATGATGTGAAATATAATCATCACTTAAATCAGACTTTAGTTCCACCTGGAGTAAATCCACAAGCTACCCTGCAGTATACAAAGTCATTCAAACTAGCTGCACCTTTACCAGCTTTGAGAACACTTTCATGATCAATCATTATAAAACATATCATATATATTATTCTGAAATGGACCAATCTGCACAATGACTACTTTTACTGTCGCTACTTTAACTATATTTTGATGAGAATACTTTTCTACTTTTACTTGAGTAACATTTTGAATATAGGACTTCTACTGAAACAGAGTATTCCTACACTCTGGTACTTCTACTTCTACTCAAGCACAAGATCTGAGTACTTCTACTTTTACTCAAGTACAAGATCTGAGTACTTCTACTTTTACTCAAGTACAAGATCTGAGTACTTCTACTTTTACTCAAGTACAAGATCTGAGTACTTCTACTTTTACTCAAGTACAAGATCTGAGTACTTCTACTTTTACTCAAGCACAAGATCTGAGTACTTCTACTTTTACTAAAGTACAAGGTCTGAGTACTTCTACTTTTAAGACAAGATCTGAGTACTTCTACTTTTACTACAAGATCTGAGTACTTCTACTTTTACTCAAGTACAAGATCTGAGTACTTCTACTTTTACTACAAGATCTGAGTACTTCTCCCGCCTCTGAAGATGGGTAAAAGTCTGCGGGAAAAAAGGCACTTCATTTGGAAACACGTCCAATAAAATCCTGAGCATGTGCGCTTGTTCTTCCTTTCCTCGTCCAATAGGAGCTTCTATGTGAAAGATAAAGCACTGAGCGAAGCAGCAGAGGAGTGTGTGTTTTATAAGTCAAAGACCAGAACAAGGGTTTGGATTTCAGTGACAAAGGTTATGCACTCATAAATGCTCGGGGATGATTTACACTCTGCTTCTGTGCCAAGGCGTCTGCTTTTACTGGAGCAGAAAATAAACTTTGAGGTCATTCCTCTCAGATCCGACGATCTTTGTTGGGTTGAGAGGTCTATTTTTTTTTTTGTGCAATGGTAGCAGAAGTTGTTTTAAATGCCACCGATAGCTCAGAAGAGTTGTCACCATCCGCATGTCGGCTTCTCCACGTCTTACCGCCAAAGTGTAACATTCCCAATCTGCCCTCGGCTTAATTTTAGCTTCACAAGTCAGCTACTTCCAGCCGTGCGAATACTCCCCAGCTTAGGTTGCTCGCTCCTTGAGACTGCGCAACTATTTGAGGCCCAGAGAACAGCTCGGTTGCAAGTTTAAAAGTTTAATTTGAAATAACTAATAGTCCACCCATTTGGAACGGCTGCAAAACGATGCCAAAGATATTTGTGAACTGTTTTTCTGTTCAACAATACAAAAAAAGGCACTGTAATTGAGTTTAATCTGCAGTTAAGTCATATCTAGTTAATTACCTCAGCAAACCATTTAGCAACAAAAGAGGCTGCTATTTTTCTTATAAAGTGTGTGGAGACCAAACCAGAGGCAACAAGAGAGTGGATATTGGACTACCATTCATCTGGTACACAAACAAGGCACTATGAAACATATAGGGCCGTTTTAAGGTGTTTGATTGTATTTTTAAGCACCATGTTAGTGCCAAGAGAGCCGCTTGGGATCATAGTTTCATAAGGGGGAATTTAGTAAAGAGAAACGTCCACCAAGGTTGAACTGCTGCACAGCACTCATGCAGATACTGGAAGAAGCAACAAGTGGAACTGTTTTTCTGTAAGTCAATAAAACAAGGCACTGTAACTGAGACGATTTGGCACAAAAGGTCACATCTACATAACAAGCAGGCACCCTAATGAAGGAGTCAGTCCCCAAAAAGACCAGCGACAGATACACAAACAAGGGAGGGTGAACTTAAACCCTTCTTCCCGGTTTTCCAAACTCTGCAGCCCACTGACACAACATCTCCAAATCCCCTGTGATGAATTAACAGGCCGGCATTGAGCAGCTATTGGACGGCTTAACCCCTCCACATGCCACACTGATGGCTTCATTTGAGCGACAGTATTTCAGTTTTCCTCTGACCCCCAACAGGGTGTGACAGGTTCAGAGTTTCAGCACGGAAACTCATGTCAGCGTGAAAATTCAAATAAGTCCAATTGAGCATCAAAGTCGCCAAACTCCTGCACGAAACGTTAGATTTTTAGGACGACAATGAACCCACTCATCCTGCAGCTTTGTCCCGTGTCAAATCCAAAGTCACACACATGAGCGCCTTTCCCCTTTAAAGATTAAAGTGTGGATCATGCCAGCAGGAATCTCCCAAACAAACACACAGAGACACAGAAGCAGCCTCTCACCTACCTTCACAGAAGCGCAGTGCTGAAGCCCCTTGGTCAGGCAGTTAGAAACCAGAGAAAGTTATTTCTTGTTCCTCTTCTCCCCCCTCCTCTCTTTCTCTCTCTCTCTCTCTCTTTCTCTCTCTCTCTTGCAGGCCTGCTATGCTGAGACAGGCATACTGACGCTCAGCACTTTGAGAAGTCAGCATTTAATTATTTTGGCTGATAGGGAGAGGAGGGGGAGTGGGAGAGAGTCACATAGAGAGAGAGAAGTGGGGCATGAACTCATGTGTTCATCTGTCACTCGATTAGACCTGTCAGACAGGAAGAGGAAAGGCTGACCTCTAGTGGTTTGAGCGGAGTTACACTTTTATTCTTTGAATACTCTTTTTATTGTCATTTTTGTAAACATTCAGACATAACACATATATACAACAACATACACCCGCATACGTACGCAAATGTGTGCAGAATAGTTACATACATCTCTCAATGGGTGGCAATAATCTCACCTTAATCATGTAGCAAGATATCTATGTATATCTTAGCTTACATACCAATTACTTAAATAAAAGCACAGAGAGAACATTAATAAGAATAATACATTATAATGGAGTTGCACCTTTAAAGAAGTTCCTGTGAAGCATGAACAATTTGCAATTTTCTATATTATTAGTATATTATATACTATCCTAAGTGTATAGTATGTCTATGCTCCTGTATGTTAGACTTTTTAAAGAACATTTGTGTTATCCAGAATATTTTATATTGTTTATATTCGATATACTATTTTTTCATTTTCATTTAATGTTTAAATGTGAATTCTCTATTTCACTTTTTAAGTATTTGTATTTTAATGTTGAACACACTTCTGTAACAAAATAATCTATCTATCTATCCATATATCTATCCATCTATCTATCTGTCTATCTATCTGTCTGTCTATCTGTCTATCTGTCTATCTGTCTATCTGTCTATATATCTGTCCGTCCGTCCATCCGTCTATCTATCTATCTGTCTGTTTATCTCTCTATCTATCTATCTATCTATCTGTCTGTCTGTCTGTCTGTCTGTCTGTCTGTCTGTCTGTCCGTCCGTCCGTCCGTCCATCCATCTCTCTATCTATCTATCTATCCATCTCTCTATCCGTCTGACTGTCTGTCTGTCTATCTATCTATCTGTCTGTCTGTCCGTCCGTCTGTCTGTCTGTCTGTCTGTCTGTCCGTCCGTCCATCTATCTGTCTGTCTGTGTGTTTATCTGTCTGTCTGTCTGTCTGTCTGTCTGTCTATTTTATTGTGATGTCTTAATTAGTTGCTTTTAAATGAAGCATCTGCATGTTCTGCAAGGATTGTAAAGGGCTTCATTATTCTAATTTATTTACTAATCAGGATTTTGGCTTCAGATTATTATTTAAAATACAAAAATGCAGTTTTATTGTTTCTACAGTTTAAGTAAATCCACTGTTAAAAAGACAAGTGCATTTTAAAAGTTCAATAACCCAAAGTTCATGCATCCAGTTTAAAAGGTAAACACAAACAGGACGTCTTATGAAAGATATGTGCATGCGTTATTTTACATTTCCCACACAGTTTAACACATGTAATAATCAGATTTATCACATACCTGCTCTCACTCTGTTGTTCTGCTCCATCCCCTGATTGTATGCTTAACGTTAGCTGTGTTTGTTCGCCATAGTTTACAACTTAGTCCTGCCTTTATTCACTTTTTGGAAATGTAGTAATCTTAGGGAGTGATGAAAAAACCTTGAGAGTCTGTTCTTGAAACCACACCCTCCAAATAATTACTTATTTTAATGAATTATAACTCCCTACATGTAGCCTACCATAGCCTGTATGAAAACTACGAACACACGAGCAGTGAGCACAACGGTACTTGGAAGCTAGCCAATCAAACAGCAGCAGAGGGGGCAACAGCCAATCAGCGTTGAGCATGCTCAATGTTGTTTTCCGGGGTACTTTTGATACAATTTAAAAAACTTTTTTCCATCCCAAAATGTATTTATGACTTGATTATTTGTCTGTAAATAATGAGCATTTTTTAATTACAATTTATCGAATCTATTTCCAATAAAAAATGTTGGTATTAGACAATTGTGAAAATTATGAAAACAAGATTAAACGTTATTTTCAAGTTTAATTATATTTGAGGTTTAAGGAAATCTACCGGTAAAAATAATAGTTTGGTACTTGGAAGCTAGCCAATCAAACAGCAGCAGAGGGGGCAACAGCCAATCAGCTTTGAGCTTGCTCATTGTTGTTTTCCGGGGTACTTTGGAAAACTTCTTTTTTTCTAGCCACTGTATAAATTACCTAATGAGTAACATAAGCAAGGATGTTTCAATGGCATTCATTGCCCTAACCCTTATTTGTAGGGGAAACTTACATTGTTACAGCAAAAGTGAAGATAGAGACAAAAGAAAAACACTATTAGATAAAAGGGCATGACACAACCATGAATATTATGGTTGTATTAAGACTTATTCCTCATAGTTAATACTCTATTCTACATATTTGTATATGCCACCCCACTTAGATGGATCCCTATTATTAATATATATTTGACCAGATTTAGGCATTCTATCCATTGATTTGTACTTAACTTAGACTTGTTATATTTCCACTATCACCCTTTTTTGGCTGAACAGCAATCTTACTCAGCATAAATAACGTCTTTGTTTTGTTGTCATAGCTTGTATCAAATCAGGTTTTATTTATATAGCACATTTAAAAGCGATTTTTGGTCGAGCCAAAGTGCTGTACATGTAATAAAAACACAATTACTACAAACACAGTAAACGACAATAAATTACAACAGATATATCTTAAAAACAAAATAAAAATAAAACACACAAAGTCAGTGCCTACTAGTCTCAACCCTTTTGTAATTGTCTCCCTTCCCCCAAATGTTTCATTTCCCTGTTTTCATTTTTCATTTATATCCTTAAGAAACCCCGTAATGTTTTTGCTGAATGGTCTACTTTCTACTTCTCTTTCTGTGTCTCTGCCAGTTCCTTCCTTGACATTTTTAAACCACTTTCACAAGGTCACGTCTTATTGTTTATCCTCTCTTATCAATAAAGGTTTGTCCACTTTCCTCTCTTTAAATTAAAACCTTTTCTATCCCTCCCTGGTTTTGAAGCAGCGTGTCAAATGTTTAGTACATATATAATATCATGACATTAAAGTACCATTATTACTTCCTGCACTTTATAGGCTTGTCATTTAATAAGCAGTAGCAGCAGACAAAAGATCCTGGAGGGAAAATTATTGAATACTTTACCTCCACTGCACATACAGTGAAATTTGACCTCTGCATTTAACCCATCCTAGTAGCATTTGTGCACAAAGAGGATACTATTCCTTAATTTAAACACCGGATACATGTTTAACTATACATCTTCCATTTGTTTATTAACCATCAACAAGTGTTTAAATCATTGTCTGCACTTTACAGATGTTTTGAACCAGATTGCAACCTCTACACTTCCCCTGAGTCTCCACTAGGTGGCAGCAGATACACACTATTAATGTAAAATATGAGCTCTGGAGGGCTTATGAAATGATTGCCTTCCAACACGCAACGCAGTGTTTCTCACTGTACAAAGCCCTCCAGTGTTTGGCATCCAGGCTTTAAAATGAGCCAGAGAGCGGTGTGAGAAAAAGAAGACATGCAATGAGCAATAGTGAGCTCATTATTGGATGGATAAACGTATGGTTTGGTAAAAAAAACAAGATTGTAAGGCAAGGCAAGGCAAGGCAAGTTTATTTATATAGCACCTTTCAACACAAGGCAATTCAAAGTGCTTTACAAAAAATGAAAGACATCAATGATTTCCAAAGTGTAGTCTCTCTACTAGGTCGTCCTCAGACGAGCCCTCCATCGTCGCTTCCAGTCATCCCGGTTCTCCATACATCTGGCCAGTTCATTGGTACTTTGTGCTCCTGCGTCATTCTTGAGTAAGTCCACACATGTTAGTGTGCGACGTCCTCGTGACCGATGCCCGTGTGTTGGTTCACCTTGCCTTTGGCAATGTAGTAGTAGAGGTAGTACTTCTGACCTCTGATGCTATTCAATTGCAAGGACTTTTATAATACAATACAATACAGCTTTACGTTTTTTAAAACCTCAAAACCAAAGTGCTGTACAGTCAATTCAACAAATAAAACATACAAAAAAATCACACAGCACACCTGAAAACAAGTACAAGTAAAAACAATAGACAATTTAAAAGCAACAATCTAAAAGATGTCAATACGCTAAGGAGAAGTCCCCATAATGACTGGCGTCTAAATAAAAATAATGAAAGCTAATTTTGCAAATTTGAACGTTGTTGTGGTTGGACCAAGCCTTAAACAATTCGAACGAAACACAAAGTGCTTTTTGTCTAATGACAGATGCTTCACATACTGCACAGCTTAGTGTGACTGCAGCATCACACACATGCTACCTGACTGCATTCTCCTCTGTGCACCATAGAGATACCAACAACAAACAAAGTTATATAGCATTTGTTTGTTTTTATTTTCTAATCCAAATAATCCAACTTGAGTGTGAACAGAAAAACACCCGAGTTCCCACACTGTCTGCACCTTAGATTGTGACATGTAAGCACTTATTTTATCAGCTCTCTGTTATTGAAAGCCTGCACATTCCTCTGCATGTTCCAATGTGAGCTTTAGCACCTGGGGCCTTTGTGCATGTGAACCACTTTCTTAGAGATATGTTTCAAGTTACAGTTGAGGAGAAGCATGAAAGAAACGAGTGGAGAAACGGGAACAAATACAAATGCTTCCAGGACACAAGGGTCTTTAAATGATGTGGATCATATGCCTCCAATTTGTATTATTACATATCCCATGAAGGAAGTTTCACTCTTGTCCGCTTGTTTCAACACCTGTAGAAGCTAAGCTGATGGAGGGAGAGAGAGAGAGAGAGAGAGAGAGAGAGAGAGAGAGAGATGGAGAGAGAGAGAGAGTAGAGAGAGACGGAGAGATGGAGGAGAGGAGAGCAGAGAGGGAGAGTGGAGGAGAGAGACGAGAGGTGAGAGATTGAGGGAGAAGAGGAGGAGTGAGAGAGAGCTTTGAGGGAGATGGAGGAGAGAGCGGGAGAGAGGAGAGCTGAGAGGGGAGGCTGGAGGCTGGATGTGGATGGATGG